TAGTAGGCAAGGGTCCAATCAGGCCAGTTATAAGATATTATACCAAAATACTGATTACTGGGAAAAAAAAATAATCAGATAATCTCTGAAGCTGGAAGTACTTGTGCAAAATTTTGTTTCCAAACGGCTGTGAACTATACAAGAGCTGAAGTATAAATAAAATAAAATTCAATTAAACTGTAAAAAAAGATAAATACCTGCTTTATGATATGGTGGACAATAGATTGCATCTCCAGAGAGTTGCTAGAGCAGTCTTACAGGAATTCAAATAAATTCAGAAAATCTTTATAAAAATTTTTCATCATTTTTCAGATAGCTTCCATTTCAAAAACTAAGGAAGGTGTGTGAGGCCGCAGACTTAGATGTTTGGTGTCTGGCAGCGTTTGAGACCACGTCAAGATGTAGAATGGTGTTCTGCATTGTGCACCTAAAGCGATCGGAGTATGCCACATGTACTACCATGTATATTAATTTTACTGTGGGGGTCAAACTGCAGGCAGTACAGAATAGTGTAGGGGCTGTATGGCTTTAAGAGGATACAGCGTAAGTCCATTTGGGGCTGGGCAGGAACTGCCACAGACTTTCTCAGTTCTCTGTAGGCACAGGCTACGTCGGGAAGAATTGGGGCTGTGTGTCCGGCTGGCATCTGGCCGCCCTCAGCGGGAACATACGGGAGGAGGAGCTGCTCCTTCAGTACAGGAACTGCACAGAATCCAGCAGTCTGCCCAGTCGTACTAATCCTCCCTTGCATACGTTCAGTGTGTAGCCAAGAAATCAAGGATTTAAATGTGGAAGTGCTGAAATACATCGATGTTACTATTTCAGGGCTTTTTTTCTACAGATGAAATGTGGCCTATAAATATTAACAGATCTTTTTCCTTTAGCCTATGAAATACATTAAACCTGCTAAAAATATTTAGCCCACGCTAAAAAGAAAGCCTTAATTCATACAATAATTCATTTTAATTTTGTTTATATATTTGCTGTATAAAGCTTTAATATGCATATCCCTCATTTTCCCATTTACAGTGCAAAAAGATCAGATAATGTATTTGTATTTGCTGAACATACTATTTATTAAAATTTACATTACAGTAATGTTCCAAGACCAATCAGTGCCATATGTCCTTTCTGATATTTCTTCTGCATTCTGAATTATCTGTTTGTGGGCAGTACTAAAATCTTGATTAGTGAGATCTAAATAACTTTAGATAAAAAGACAGTAACATTAACTTTCCCTTTTATTTAACCCAGTAAATTTTCAGTTATTTGTAATTGCCTGTATGGCATAGTAAGCATTGGAGGAATGCAAATTGGGCAACAGAAGGAAGATTAAATAATTGTCTTGAAATGTTTGGATTCAGATTCAAGAGTTATTTCCACATAGTCACTGAGTGAGGTGTTGATACTATGCTCTATTAATCCACAGTGCATACAAAGAGTGTACAAGGAGTACAATATGTACAAAGAGTTCTCTCTTTCCAAATCTGTTCATAGCAATGATAAATTCTATACCCAAGCACAAGTCATCTTGCATACATTTCTAGTACTTTGAAACAGTCCTGAAATTATTCTTATTTCTCTGACACTGCCAAGAAGTCAGTATAAAGGATATTAAGTTAAAATAATTTCCTCAAGGTTCACTTGGTGGGAGGAGGGAGTTTTTTATTTTCCTTCTCTTCCCCATGTGATCACATAGCACACATTACCTTTTTTTGGCAAAAGACCAAATACATACAGTAGGATATGAAGATATAAGAGGTAATTCTTTAAAGTGGCAGAACCGAAAAGGTATTCTTCATGTTTCTTACTGTATGACGCCGAACACACACTTAGAAAGTTTGAGTTTTGGTAAAAGTGTCCACAAAGACTTCTAGAAGTCGTGGAAAGCTGGAAGCTTTTCCTGAGGAGTTAACGTGTTGTACAGGTTTGGCTTTTTTTTTGGAAACTGAGGACAGTAACTGAATGTTACGTTTAACTTACATAGCATCTTTATAGACTGAAGAGAATGAAAGGGAATTTATCAACAGAAGTTACAATGTAATATGATTATTTTCTAATTGAGTCCTTGTGAGCAGTGTTTTGATACACATCACACGTTTTGTGTGCTGATGCCTGATGTAGATTAGGAAAGTCCCTTTCTTTAGCCTCTGTGGTTAATCCTGGTTGAATTCCATTCCTCTGATGTTAAATGAAGCAAATGGAAACCCATCTTGCTGTCTTCTGTCACATGAAGTTAAAATATCATGTGGTGGGTTTTATCAGTACTTTCTATATGCTTTAATCGTGGGATTCAGATAGTGTTTTTGAAGAGAGGAAGTATTTTTTGCTTCATGTGCTAAGATATTGCCAAGGCAATAGCCATTCTAAATCGCATTCTATGAGAATACCTGGAATACTCTGCTCCTAGATCATCTTTCTGGACTGCAGCGTTCGACTTTTCATTGGTGCTTCAGTCCACTCCTTATGCTGTGCAGAATTAGTGGTCATCTGATTTACTGTCCAAGTCCTGCAGTTATTTGTGTTTCCCAGTTTAGCTCGTGGCTTACTGAGTTAGACAGAGGTTTCCTCCAATCTCATTTTCCACAGAGAAAATAGCAGTGCAGAAAACTTCGTCAGGACATAATCTCCCTTTATTTTTCTTGTCATAGAAAAATCATGGCTGAATATTAGTGGATTCAGCTGGCCAGATGGTCGGAAGTCCAAGACTCAAAATTCTGCAAATCATTTTTATTTGTATTTTAAAAACATTTATGTATTTTCAGAGTCTTTTGAAAGCTTTTAACAAAGCTCTTCATTTTTTCAAAGAAAAGGTACAGAGAACCTGTTTCCTGTTGTTTAAGTGAAAACGCTCTGTTCTTGACCCGAATGAATATTCAGATTTTTTTTTATATATACATGTGGCTATTGTAGTACATTCCTCAGCCATTCCCTCTCCTTTCTCACCTCTGGGAGACTAGTAAATGTAATTTTCTCTTTGCCATTACTCTGTGGTCACTTTGTGAATGCTTTCTGGGCCTTTTACACTGATGATCTCCAATTTTATGATAAGGATTGATACTCTTCCCCTCACTTTTCCTTCCTATAGAGCTATGTTTGCTTTTAGTCAGAATAGTATTTCACCTACTCATCCTGCTCAGTTACCAGCTTCATCCCACTTTCAGTACAGATTGCTCAACAGATCAAACCAAAGGTCGACCAAACACTGAGCCTGTCATTAAGAGCAGCCAGTAGCAGATATTAAGGTAATGATTTACAAATACATGGCAAGTACTGAATGATACTTCCTCCCTACTTCTCTCAGTCTCCAGTTAAGGGACTTGGATCAGCATTTGTATCATCTGTCTTAATGCATCTACAGATGTAGAAGTCTACATCTGAGCTAGCTACTGACATCACATTCAAGGCAAAGAAGGATAAATGATGACTGTGTTTTGACGGCTTTATTTTAGACCTTAGGATGAGATGAATGGTGCCTTGGAACTGCATATTTCTCCTTGCTGCCTAGCAGGAGAGCATAAGTGAATAGCCCAGATGTAGATGTGTGAAATAGAAATGAATCCTAACCCACGTGTCTCTACATCACTCCCACCTCTGCATTTTGGCTTTATTACTGACCCTCATTAGTAAAATGCCCTTTCTGAGGCAGTCTGCAAAGTCACTACTTTTCACTTACTCACATAACCTTAAAGAGCCATTTCTTTTATGATACCTATAAGAAATTAGCCAAGTAGTCTGCTGTTCTATTTCCCTTACTCATCTCAAGAGTGAACTACTCGGCTAAGTGGGTGGAAAGGATTGAATGATGGAAGAAAAGTAGGATGAAACCATGTTGAAGATGAAGATGGCAAAAGCTAGCAGGGTAAACTGCGGAGGGAGAATAGGGAAATTAACTCTTGAACCACGACAGCAACGAACGTGTAGCTAGTGAAGAAGCACCTTTATGGCTCTACTGTTCACACTACTTCTATGCCATTTCCCTGAAAAAGTAGATAGTGAAATGTCAGACACTCTAAGCTGACTGTATCTCCTTGCTGTATTGCATATTTTACATGCTGTTCAGTATAGATGATGATAATACTTTTACTCAGATTTTTATGATTGCTTTATTGAAACTTAGTTAGGAGAGTTTCATTACTGTCCCCTTTAAGGCTGGGCTGGCACTTAAAAGGGATGGCAGACGCTCTCTATTAATCCCTTCCTTTCCCAGAATGGGAAGGAGAGGAGAAAAGGGAGAAAGACTGATGGGCTGGAAAATCAAAACTACTTTAATAAAACAAGAACAATGTAGAACAATATTGATATTAATTCTACTACTAATAGAAATAAAAAGATACAAACCCAAAGTTGAGTTTCCCCAGTGCTGATCACAGGACCGGGTGTCACGGTGGCTCGCACTGCTCATGTGGCAGGGTGGGCACCAGGCTGTCCTGGACTGGACTTGGCAGTAGCCAGGAAACGGATTCAGGAATGCAGAGATTGGGATCGGAGGGAGGAGAGTGAGCAGAGTCCCATAGGGATGCTGGCCATGAAAGAAAGAGCGTGACCCCCCTGATCCCTTACTTTTATACTGGGGATCACGTGTATGGGATGGAATACATCATTGATCAGCCCTTGGTCACCTGTCCTGCCCACAGCTTCCTGCAGGTATGACCCTTTTCCACAGCCCCCACCCATGACCCACCCAAGAGCGCACAGTGACTCTAATTCCCACAGGAACAAGCACACCCATAGGCTTTTCTGTGTAACAGTCCCACCACTACCACAGCAACAACTACAGACATTAAGCACCATCAACTCTAAAAGCAGGCACTGCCTGAAAAACCTGTAGTCAGCTTCAGAGAGTGCAGTTGCTTAAAAGGAACTTAACTGAAAGAAAATCTACTGAAAAGAGAATTGGTCCTGTTTTAGCCAAACCAGGAGCATTACAAAGATGAAAGTTTACATGATCAGGAGAGTTTTTACTTTAACTGCTCTTTATTTTCTGTTTAATATTGAAGGTTACAACGATTAGCAAAAGACCTTTTAAAGCACCTCCAAATGCAGGACAGCTGTTCGCTGGGGAACAACAAGGTTTCTGCTCTGGACAGGACTTTAGGAGAGATCTCTCGTATTCTGGAAAAAGAGGTATCGTGATTGTTACTATGTAACTTATGATTAACCTATAAACTGTGTTGCCCTCAAATGTCATCAGTTTGGATTTGGGAATGTTTTAAACGTGTTGATGAACACAGGACTCTGTGTAACAAGCGATTATCTGCTGTTTTACTTTTCTGTGGTGACTGCAGCAGCAGATGCTTTTATTTAGACATCAGATTTTATATAGTCAGTTTTGCAGAAGTGCTGAAAACATGCTTGACTTATGCTACGTCATCTGGATAATGACAAGCTGTACTTCCACTGTGTTTTCATTAGGATTGTTTTTAACCTGGACCATTTCAGTCATCTAGTTTATAGTGCGTACCCACAAACAGCTTTTACAATAGGGGGCCAAAACAATTAGCAGAGAACAGAAGAGAGAATTGGAGCCAGCTCTGCTGTCACAGCCGCCATATTGTGGTGTTATGGCTGAGTGTTGAAGGAGCACAAATCTGTTGCATTTTCCCAGAGTACAACAAAGCTGGTAGGTCTTTGATGGAGTATGAAGGTATGATGTGCATATATATGGGATATTTCTATTTTAATATTTTTTTCAAAGTGCTGTGTTTGTAGAGCATGTTTTGGTTTATGGTAAATGTTGAGTTTTTCGGTTGATAGTACAGCATTAGCATCTTTTTTTACTGTTTATCATGGTCAGTCTGCTGCCACAGTGCTTTGTGTCTTGTAGTGCGGATTTTTTTGCTCCATTAGGACCATGATATTTGAGTTTTCAGCTGAAACATTGTGTTCTGTTCTCTCTCCAACCATTACAAAATACCTCTCTTTCGTATCTGTAATCAAGAAATCATGAAAATTAGTTCTGAGAGAAACCAAATTAATGAAATCTGAGGAGAGAGTTGCATCATTGTGGTTCAGAGTTGGTGTCTGTGAAGATGAGAGCTCTGCTTGATGCTTTTCACAGTTTAGTCAATGGGGAACACAATTCTAACAGCATATGCTTTTAAATACTGAATGCTGACTGGGATGCATAGGGTTCTGATGTGTATTCTGTTAGTTACTTTGAGCTGCTGATCACCTTGAATAGTGTTTTGGGAAGAGTTGTGACGTTTTCAAATTTTACAGTGTTTGCATCAATTATTGAAAAATTCATTTGTTATTTATTTCAAAATACAGAAATCGTGTTGTTGGATGAAGGCTATAAAAAGATGTATCTATTTTGAAAGTTATCTAAATAATTATTGGAAGCTGTTTTTGGAAAGTGGTGGTGTACCCAGCATCTCATCAGTAGAAGTTTTCTGAGATTTTTTTAAATGAGACATGAGTTGCAGCTAAACGTTAATCATTAATTCTTCGCAACATTTTTACTGCTTGTTGAGTCTGCAGTGGAGAATTAAAAGATAAATTTGATAGTATTAATAGACATGCATTATTTTGTTGTTGATTCCAATTTTTACCTCCAAAACATTACCACTGGAGAAGTATTATTATATCCGAGTGTCCTAATCAATAAGGTCAAAAAAGATTGATTTCAATAGGTGACGGTGTGTTTACGACATAGATCATACATAATCATTTATAGAAGTAGATAGTAATTCTCTTGTTAACTTGTGAGTCAAGAAATCAGCAGACACATCTTACATGTCAATGGGCGGTGAAAAGAATCTTGATGTTGTCAGTCATTGTCTGAGAGGAGGAGACTGACACTGTTAATTGAATTTCCCTGGAGAGCATAAAAAATATACCATAATGTGGAGGGAGGCATGAGGGAGTGGGAACCACACAAGCTGTCAGTGTGTGTGAGCTGATAACATTGATTTACCCTTGCTAATGGCCTGGGTTGAATAAAGAATTGCCCTGAGGGAGGACAGTGTTCACTACAATAGATCCTTGCCACTTACTAGAAATTCTTCAGACTCAGAGGAAGTCATGCAAAAGTATTATAAAATTGATCCAAAAAACCCTCTTTTTGGTCATACTGTGAAACATTGGATTTTTTGTTTGTTTGTTAATAGTTTATACTGACTGAAAAATGCATTTATACGATCTCACTAGGGAAATGAAGATTTGTGTTGCAAGCCATGAAATAAAATGCTGAGCTGCTGTTGGTAACAATAAATAAGAAAAATAAATACCATTAAATTTCTCAATAGAAGGAAGAGTTATTCAGCTCATTAGAAATTCCATGACTGTGCTAAAACAGCATTAAAGAATAGAGGTGTATTATCTATGCAAACCTGAATCACAAAAAAGTCACATATGCCAGAAAAGTACTTGGAAGTAAGGAAGTTGAAGTGCAGTTTTTGAGGATCTGTCATGGAGTATGGTCATTAGTTGCATACAACCTGTGATTCATATGTATTTTAAACAAACATAAAAGGTACTGTAAAGTCATAAACCACAGTGTTGTTCCAGTTTTAAATAAATTTGTACCCCTCAGGTCATGTATCCTTCCTTCTGCTAGTAACATTGAGCAGGAGGCAGAAATCCTGATGGTGGTATATACGCCTGGTGTGCGGTCCCCAAGATGTATCTACAGCACATACTGCTAGGGTGCTGGTTTGGGTGTGCTATAGACTATTGGAATGCAGTCCTTGGGTTTTGTGCATAGTCTCTCATCCTTCCTGGCAGAATTGCTGGAAGGAAGTTGTATTCACTTTCACCTCTACTTTGTTTAAAAGTATATTAAAAAAACAAACACACACAGAGATGCAATAGCAAAATGCATGCAAATGTTACCAGAAGGCCCTGGCCTGATGTTGGCAGATTGTCATATGGGACTCTTCAAGCTTTTAATAAATCTGATAACGCTCAGTTTAAGATCTCCCAGAAATGGACCGTCAATGCTGGAAGAAAAACTTATGTACCCTCTTAAAGGAGGCAGAGCTGATGTTTGAAACTGCAGGGCTGAAGCAGTTTTTCTGCCACAGTTCTTCTGATTTTATATGTGTTCATTCTTTGATGGACGAATTTTACACATCCATTACCAAGGGCAGCAGTGTGTTTCAGATGTGTAAGGAATCCCAGATTAACTGCTCAGGTTTGACTTGAGCACTCATACAGAAATGTCCTGTAATAAGGAACACTTTCAGAAACCAGTATATTTAAAGATGTATATCCTATTAGTTTGACTAGAGGTATAGTTTTAAGTTGCTGATGCTTATATAATTTATTTCCCTCAATGCATAGGGGTGAGATTTACTGATTGAGAAAAAAAAAGAAAAGCATTTTCTACTACATAGACACTGGACATTACACTGATTGAAGTACATATATTTCTAAGGCTATGAACCTGACCTGGGTCAGAGGTTACTGCCTCTCGGATGGTCATTGTTAGACTTGGTGACAGAACATTACTTCCCTAAAGTTCTTCCTAAAATTTGTTTTGAGAGGGTTTTTTTGGGGGTCCAGGTTTTAAAAGTCCTACTGTTAAATATTTAAAGTATTCTGGTGCTTTTGATAGGTCTGGTGTCGGCAGAGATGACAGACATCATTGTTCTGAGGAACGTAGCAGGATGCTACCTTCAATAAGGGTGGTGACAAGCAGCTGAGGGCAATAGCCTTTTCACCTGGCTCAGCTGCAGCTAAAACACTGCAGTTAAATCACTTTAGTAAAATTTGTGCAATACTTATGTGCGGCACCTAGACAAGCCCTTAATGTGTCTCCCATCCTTCTGACTGGGAATATGACACATAGATTCAATATGATCACGAGGGAACCTCTTGATTTTTGGAATCCAAGTGCAGCAGTTAATCTGCTTAATTGGAATTATTTTTATGATGTTTCTTGTCCGACCACTAGTTTGAAAAAGGTCTTCATCACAACACAAGTTATAAGATTCCTGATTTGACAGAAGGTCTTAGAGATACTCCTAAAGAGAGAGCTGCAGCCACAGGGGAAGGATAGAGGCTTTATAAATGTCCCAGCCTAAGCAAACATTACAGCTGAAGCTCACCTGTCTATCACAAGGTGCAAAGCCCTAACAAACAAGATTTCACTGGTTCTGATGTTTATAAAACTGACTATGATTTTGTACAGTTTTGAGAATAGCTGTGTCCCTAATCTCCTTCAGGCTCTCTAGGTGGTCTAAAAATCTCAGTAAATAACAGTGGGCGTAAATTAAGTTGTTAAAAGTGTGGAAGTGAAATGGAACCAGAAGTATAGAAGAGGAGGCTTTTAATAAATTGGGGCATGGCGCTTGTACTTACCAGCTCTCTTCATACGAATCTGAAAGTAACTGCTTTTCAGTAAGCTAAGTTTCAAGGTAGTTATTTTTATTACTAATTCAGAATAGTATCCTTACTGGAAGCAGATTTCAGGGGGAAGAAAAAATACTTCCTTAGAAAGTATGTCATTTTGTAACTGAAAAATACGTGAATCTGAGCTATTTGTTGACTGCAGTGTTTTAATATTTTTTTAAAAAAGGATCTCAATGCTTATGACCTCTAAAACATGCTCTCTCAGTGACCATTAATGGTTTGTTTTGTATCAGGCAATGTTTTTAGGTTTGCGATTTTTAGATAGATTTTTTTCAGCCTCCTGCTTCAGCAGTTGTGGTGTCGGTTGTTTACATTTCAGTAAAATGTTTGTCGTAGCTTTCAAATACATGGGGACTGTAGACAGACAGTGTTTATCCCATTGTAAAGACTGTCAGAAATGGCTGGCTTTAACAACACAGTCAGGCCTGGTATTTATGTTTTATTCTCTAAACTGTCAGGCCCATTGGGTATGGTGACTATAGCCAGTGTGGAGATTAATAGGCCAGTTTTTGGAAGGCACACTGAATTGCCTGGCCTGCTACTCCTGTTTTGGGTTTTGTTGGGGTTTTTTGTTTGTTGGTTTTTTCCCCTGAATAATACAAACTCTGATCAGTCAGAAACTGAAACAATAAAATTGAAAACCACTGAAGAACTAAGATATGTAACAAAAGCAGTGTTAAATGGAACACGTGTAAGCTTCTGTACTGTTCATGATAAATTTCTTCAAAAGTTTCTATGGAGATTTAAAATTGCCTCGTGTGTGTATACGT